GCCTTTATCAGTGTTTCCATTAAAAAATATGTTGCAAAAAAAAGCCTTTGTAAAACGTAATAACAACGATAATATCAAATTATGTTAATACGCTTTAATTTTACACATTGAGGTATCATAGTGTTATTTATTAGCCTATTGATTTTTAATTTATATCATAAGGTGGCAAACGAGCGAGCGGCCACCTGAAATCGCTGAAATAGCGAAGTGACCATTGCCCATAGACATACGCAATTGCATATGCGTTGCCTACCTTTAATCGACGGAGGAGAGGATGCACAGAAAGAAAATATTTTCCCTTTCCATGCATCCTCTCATCTGGAAAGTCCACTTCCACTTTCCATCCTTTCCTTATAAGAAAAAGGGTAGGAAGGGAAAGAGGACTAAATTAGGCCTCCGGGACGCACACTCACCAGACGAAACGCGGAATTGCTTCCACTTGACGGCTGTCTTCTGTGTGGTCGTGGTATTTCACCGGGCGAGCCGGGACGATTCGTGCGAAGATGTTAAAGCGGGCACTACCACTGTTAAATCAATTAACTATTACGGTAAGTTTCCAAAAGTCGTTGGTGTTTTACAATCTCCATACTGTGAAACTACAACAATTTTGATGACAAGAATATTATGTTTTAGTTAATTAATTTGTTAGTATTTTTATAAGTGTAGTGTGCAAACGCACGACAGGATTACTGAGGTCCGATCTTGAACTTTACTTAAACATTGTGTAACAGGCCCTTAATCAATTTCTTGAACTTATTATCAGCATCAGCTCACTATACGTCCTCACCGAGGGGCTCGGAGTGTACCCTAAGTTAAGGGTGTGGTAAGTTATTATATGACGATGTTAATTTACTTATTTCAACACTTTTCTTTTGTTTTACATAACATTCAAATACTGTATTCTTGTTAAGTATTAGCGAATCATTATATTTTTCCACTTTACAACATGAAAGTGAGGATGAGTGAACGACTTTTCCATTTTGTTTGTCGAGTCAATACTTTGTTGTTAACGAGACGTTGATAAATATCAGGCAACGAAGAATAACATACACATCAATCAAGTAGGCAGGTGTGTAATTCAGTTTCACTCGTCAACGAGACGCGATTCGAGATGAAGACAGTCACAAATCACAAATTGCTTCAATTTAGATAGATAAAAGAATTGAAGAATTGTTTAATTAAATTTAATTATTAATAATAATAAATCTTTTATTCAGACACATGGTCCAAACAAAGCAAAAAAATACAAATTAAAATTCTGACCCAATTAATATCGTGTTGAACTACACTATGTCAAAAAGTGTCTGCTTCATTAACAAATACCATTTTAATGTGTCTGTTTTAGCTTCGGTGGCTCAAGGGTTAAGAACTTGCAATCTGCAGGTCCTGGGTTCGAATCCCGCTATGTAGTGTTTTCCGATATTCGATTTACATATGTATATATATAAGACGTTCATACGGTGAAGGAAAACATCGTGATGCAACCTGTACATATCTGAAAAACATTTAAAGATATGTGTCAAGTCAACCCGCACTTGGCCAGCGTGGTTGATTATGGACAAGTCACGTCTAACTTAGTGTAGGCTTCGAGTCTCTCAGTGGGGATGTAGTAAGCTGATGAATTTAATGTGTCTTGGATTGGTTGTCGCAAGCTCCAATGCCACGTGTCAGTTGTAATAGCCGTTCATGATGATACGATTGTAAAACCCTCCAAAGATTGGTATATTAGTTATGGTTGATAACAAAAGAATAATGGAGTAAACAAGTGAATGTCTAGATTTGTATGCAAAGAGGTATTAGAAACCTGTAATCTGTGACAATCGTTTCTTGTATTGTGTGTTTTATCTGCAATTAAGCCTGGAAAAAGGCGCAATTTATTATTCTTTATAAAAATAACAGTAATACGCTATCTGATAAGACAGTTATCTATAGGCATATACAACTCAATAAAAAACCAATGAACTTTTGACACCGGTATGTCAACTGCATATGTGCAAATACGTGGTATTAATTTTATTGTGTTGTTAATTACGTGGGAAGGAAAAGCCAGATCTCCCTCCCTCCCTCCCCTCCCCACCTCCCTCGGGGGATTTAAGAGCTCGGTGACCTCCCAATCCGGTAACTATAACGAAGTAACAGCTCGAGCCGAGGCTCCTGAGGGAGCCCTCGAGACTTGTTACTCTTAAACGAGGTTCAGGCTAAGCGCCATCTGCGCTCCTCCACCCCAAGCCCGGTGATGTTGTAAATGCCTCTACAAGGCAAACAGTGACTACTGTCACAAAAAAAACGTGGGAAGGAAATAATTGATTTTGTTTTCTTTTTAGATCCAATTGATAGTTTTCGAAATTTAAATTGCAAAAATTGCTTTCTTATTGAAGTGGTATCTGTCAAAGCTATGAGTCGTTAGCGCATAATTAAAAAGTAGCCCATAATAAGGATGCTTGGAGCAACTAACTTCTCGTCAAAGTTCATTCAAAATCGATCCATCTGTTCTGGACAGACAAAATTATTAAAAATGTTACATTATGTTTACATATGAGATTTTTTATATATTATTATATTATACGACACACCAAATTTATTAAAATGTAGGGACAATTCAGAAACTAATTATAGTAATAAAAACAAAATTTATTTATAATTCCAAATTAAATTTAATTCAATTAAAGTGTCGTGTTTCGAATAAAAATTACTTCTTTGGCTAATTTATTGTTATCATATATTATAATCTGCGTTTATTAATTTGACAGTTTGCCTTCTCATAGCGTGGGAAGTAAAGTAATATCCTATCATATCTTGAATCACTTTCACCGAACTATGTGGTTATTTATTGTACAACATTGTCTATGTATTTAGGAAGAAAATCCGACACTGTGCCGGTGTATCGGCGTAACACTAGCCTTATTAAAATACCAACGTGTATGTCGCTTCACTAATCACCCTGACAATTGACTTGGTAACAAAAGCGCGTTATTCGCTCTAAATTTTTCTAATTAATAATGTCTAATAGTATACTCATAAAACAAGCAATAGTTCATTTGAAAAACCAATAATAATGAGAAAATTGTTTCATTTTAATGCTGTAGAGTTGACCTTGACATTCCCATCCTGTAGGTGATATATTTTGACACAGAATTTGCAAATTTTGTAATTTAAATATACACTAAATGGATTATGAAAAAAGCGACAAAAACATAACCAATTAGAATCAAAACTAGATATAATGTGAGTTTGTTAAATTAAATTAAAGTTTAATTACTTGTTAGTAATGTTACTTTAAGTTAAAATTAAGTAAAATAAATATTGATTTTAATGGTTTAACATATTTATAATATAAAGTTATTCTACTTAAGTTAATTATGCTATAAACATGAGTAAAACATCCGTTAGGAGCATTTGACATGAAGTTATTGCTAATAATTATCGACTTCCATTTGCTATTAAGGAAACTCGTATGTAGTTCAGTTATTAAATCTTTGAATAAAACTTACTATATAGATTTTCATATTAATTTCGATAGTATTTTATCAAATTTTCAAATACCATGTATTAATGTTATATTATGAATAACAAGTTTACTTTTTAAATTTACGTGAATTAAACGTGGTCTTAAATTATTCAAACTTTCTTGAGACATTATACTAAACAGATATAAAACGGCTAAACACTCACGTATATACGTCCGGTGGCGGCACCGACTAGTTTCGAGCCCATCGGGGGCCCTTCATCAGGATGAGTGGTACTAGTATGATTTCGCGGACGCGGCCCGTCGCTTACGTGGTCTAGTACTTTGGCAATGATTTGTACAAACGAAGTCAGAGTTATATTTAAAAAATCTGACATTCAGTGACGTCATAATCGCGTTGAAGTCTTTAGTATGACATTTAATATATAAACTTTTTTTGTGTACGTTATGTTCGAAAAAAATTTAAATATATTAACAATACCAAGAATTATATAAAATGAAGTATATATAACACCGTTATATATTTTGTAAAATTGTTTAATTAATTTTTTAATCAGTGTTGAATGTTAGATAGAATCACTACCAAACTTTCTTTTATCATAATAAGACTCGGTGCTATACATTTGTTGTATATAATTCAACTTTATATTGTAATATAAATAATCACATCAAATAAAACCGCAATCATATTCATCTGCCAATTAAAAATCATCGATGCGAACAGAAATTGAAAATGTATGAAAGTTTAAACGTCAAATTTAATATTTCCTGTGCAATCAGATGAAAACAAGCTTATACGATTCAATGATCCACAATAACTGACCATTAGTGAAAGTATATTTACATTAATTCAAAATTGCTTAACTTTTGTTTATAATTTTTTTTATAACAGAAGGGGGCAAACGAGCAGCGGGAACACCAAGGTGTTCAACGACGCCCATGGACATCAGCAATACCAGAGGAACCTCAGATGCGTTGCCGGCCTTTGAGGTGGTGATAGGCTCGCTTCTTGAAGGATCCTAAGGTTTGGAAATACCGCCGAGGACAGACCGTTCCACATTGCCATATCCACATATTACTATTATTGAAAATAAGTTGCCTATTTTTTATAAAAAACTGGCTGCACCGGCGACTACCTCTGAGCCGAATTAAAAAAAAACCTAATTAGTAGCTTATGTGTTTTTCCAGACTTTGTTCTACATCTATGCCAAATTTCACTGAGATACCTTACAACCATCAAAACTTTAGTTTTTATAATATTTATAAGATAGGACGTAGATAATCTAGAAAAACGTGCGGCACAAAATAGGAAGTAAGTCTTGATTATGCATGTAGGTTTATATAAAGAATCTGTAAAATGTAACATAAATAAGTAGCACAAAATTTAATGAAAAACTTTCAGCTGACTGTGCGGAAAACGGGGTGAATCACGTTTAGAATGTTGACCACTTTTACGTTTAACAGAAAGAGATTTTACTTGCACAATGCTTGCGAACCATCCCGGTGGATCACAGCGGTCAGTCGCGCTTGCGCATCGGAGACGCACGCACGCGCCTCTTAAGTACGTTAAACCGCGCTCGAAACTTACGAATTGTGACAGTGACATGGTTTTGTGCTCTAAACGGATTACGTTACGGTGTCATTGAAAACGTAAGTCATCTCAGATCAAGAATATTTTGTGTTATTTTAAAACTTCTTTATTGTTAAAAAATAAATATATATTAGTGTAATTTTTGCATGTTTTGTCGGCAGATGAAAATTATTTGTATGCATTAATTCTTAGTGGGCGTAACGCGTATCTGGACACGCGAAAGCAAACACAGAAACGTATAGATGTGTATTAATTACAGATGTTCATTTGTAACGTGAGCGTATTTAAATTATTTAGAAATCGTCATCGTGCAAAAAATGTACAAAATCATTGAAGCGGTGAACAGCCGGTGGCCGCAAGGTGCCGCAAACCGCTTTGACGGCAACCGCAACTTGATAGTGTTGGTTTAACCGATGATAACCCTTGCTACATGCATGATACAGACTAGATACAGTTTAGTACTAGCTTTATAGTACAATTGACCACAAGAATTTCAAACTATCAGATTGTTGTTACAAATATTAACGATTTTTAATCACTTTTTTTTAAATGATATTTTTGAATTGTAAAATTTCTTAGGATATTTGGTAACAATATCCTTAATTTTAAATTACAGTGTAAGAGTTAAATCAAGTCCATGATGAATGCAGAATAATAGAGCTACACAACAATATTCCAGCGATATCTAATGCTCATGCAAAATGCAACGAATCCACTGGCCAATGCTATTGACACCAAAATTTACGTGTTTCCCAGGATTAACAATATTAAATACTTTTTAGTAACAATTAAGTCAGTAATTTATGAATATAAAAATTCAAGTATTATAATAACGATTCATTTATTCCACGCTTATTATTTTCATCTACATCGGTAAACAAATGAAAGTAAATATAATTATGAATTTTAATTAATTTATTATTAGCTTCACGATGAAACGCAAATTACCATTAGCTAGTCAATTTTCATTAATAATAATTTGACAGGTAACGTTCATTATAAAGAAAATATGTAATTTTGTAGAATATAATTACGAGTTCCAAACAGCAATTTTGACACGTTTTAATTATGAAAGATTTAAATTTTGAATGCATTATTTTTGCAATTTAATCAATTTCATCAATTTAATTACTCAGCAGATAAGAGAAGGGTAAAAAAAGGAAACTAGAAAAATGAATCTGCGCCGATGACTCATATTTTTATCTATCTATTATTTAACATTTATACAATATTTAAACAATTATAAATTTACATCTAGAAATTATAAAAGAAAGTATTTGAATCAACATATCAGAGGCTACTTGACAGATGTTATGCTAAAATAAAATTGCATTAAGGAATGTCCTGTAAAAGCGAAACGCATGGTAGCTCTAGCGCTGGAGATGGTATCCGCGCGTGCTCGAGTGTGTTAGTGGTGCGGCCAGTGAGAGTTAGAATGTGTAGCGGCGACCTGTAATACATTGCAGAGAAATACTGCTGCTATACACGGACTGCAAGCAATCGCCACCGACAACTACAGTCAGACTGGCTGCAGTTTAACGTCGTCAATACACGAAACACAGTTTACAATCTTTTTTTAAATGTAAGTCAACGCCGGACACTTAAAGCTGCTTGTATCTACTGTTTGAAGCGGTCCGTTTACAGCCGTTTTTAGCCTCCGTAGATTTAATATACGTCTTAATAATTTCCTTCTAACACTATCGCGTGTTTCGAGCAGACATTTTACGAAATTGTTTGCGATGTAATTTTGGTAAAATTATCTAGGTTTGTCGACTAAATGCACATCACACATCTGTTAAGACGATTGTGGATTTTTGTTACCGTTATACACAAATAAGTGTGGAAATGCGTGGACTACATTCGATAGACTACGATATCTAAGCTTTTTTTAACATACTTACGCATAAAATAGTGCCTTTTAAGATAAAATATGCTCATGTCCATAAGTGTCGTAAAATCTTTATTATCTATTTAAAATTACTGTCATCATAAGGTTTGTATTTTCAATCATAAAATATATCGATATTTGAAATCGATCATAATACGAAACGAGCTGGTAAAAGCCCGGAAGCTGCGAGATATCGATTACGTATCGTCGTAAAGTATCGAAGCTCGGTATTACAAGATTCAAATTTTATGATCGCTCGGAGATAGTGGGCCTACTGCGGCTGGAAGCAGGGATGTCCAGCATACATTTACGAACCGCAAATACCTATTTGTTGTAACAAAATTTGAAATTAGTACATTATTTGAAATTTACTAATAGACATTATTTATATGTCTTTTTCTTATGTCTTTTTAAAAAAGACTCCCTATACTAGGAGTTTATTCACGACAATATTTGAAGGGTAGGATGTGAACCCACGATTACATGATCGGGTTTCTGTTCCTATTATCACTTTGATTGTTATTATTGCGCGGGTTTTGTTCTTGGTGTCTTGTAAATGTCGAGCTAGCATAAAGTTTGAATTGTATTATACAGCAATAAACATCGTGTCCACACTACGCTTGTTTGCGAGCATTAGTAACATGAGCACTACTTGCCCACTCGATGGGAACCAATTTAAAGAATGTCCATTACCATAACATGGCAACTAGTCTAAGACATTTTATGGTTTTCTTGTGAAATCGCTTTCAGAAAAGTAAAAGTTGAAATTATTATGGTTTATCTATTTCACTTATATGAATTTTATCTTTGTAATTTACCAAATATATTTGTGTATTTATTTATTTGTTTTGACTTTTTTATGGACATTTCCAAAAAATTAATCGACATCACAGGGGGCCGAAGAGCTGGCAGCTACATCGGTCAAAGAATTAGTTTAGCTGTCCAAAGGGGGAACGCTGCCAGTATCTTCGGGACCTTGCCTAAAGGGACTCCTTTTAATAACATATTTTAGTGAATTATTCGTTTTTTTAATGTTTTATTTTATATCATAGATTTACTATATGTAATTATAGAAATAAGGATGTATAATAAATTCAACTTTTTACTTTATAATGTCTCGTATTTGTGTATTGAAGGAAATCGTAGATTTAATCTGTCAAAACACTTGGATAAAAACAATTTGTGAACGCTGTAGAATTTTACCGTTGGGTTGTAATAATTTTCTATTTTATCACCCTCCAAATTATCTGTGAAAAACCCAGAGTTATTAATATCTTTTGATACACTATTTAGACAGTAAAACACTGATATATTGTAATTAAATGATTCATTTAATTTCTAACTCATATCTCTGTCTGTCGGTTTAGTATTGAAAAATTTCGCATGTACGTATATCAAAAATGTGTAAGATTGACCCAATTCCGTAAGCCGTTGTCAGATTCTGTTACTTACGTTCGGCTAATAATCTTATTGTCTCTCATCACGCGATGCTAACGTCTTTAAGACATTCTATTTTAAATTACTCTGCATTTTAAATTTGGAATCTCAGATAACCTGGTTGATAAGATTTAAAATACAATTTTTTTAATTTAGAAATATGTTAAATATGTTAAATATGTTATAATAGTAGAATGGAATTGTTTTTTTCAAGAAGATACTGAAACAATTAAAAAAAAAAGAAATTGTCACTAAAATTCCGGCAATCTGACTTCTTACTAACATTATAAATGTTTACATGGATGGATGTTTGTTTGAAGGTATCTCCAGCACGGCTGAACGGATCTCACATATAGAACACATATACTAATTATGATTTTTTTAATTCCGCGCAGACGGAGTCGCGGGCAACCACTAGTCCTTTAATAACTTTTGTAGCTATATCAATATATGCACAGATTTTCAATTCCAATCTAAATTCTAAATTACTCAACTTTATAATATTCATACTAGTCAATGACTAAAGGAAAGAAACACTGCACAGAGTATATAGTTCAGAGATTTCAACAACCAAAATACTTGAATAGTTGGTACAGCATTGTATTCGAGTTACAACAACGTGATAGTCCAGACGAAAGAACATCAATGTTATAATTAAATCGAGCTGACAATTTGTTGGCTTGAGCATCATTTCAAAGCATTAGCAGTGATACCTTTAAAAGATTTTACTGCGCTTTTATTAGTTATAAATTGAACGTTGGAGCGCGTACTTAATCTGACAAGACGTGTGGTGAATTAATCGTAACAGTCGGAATACGCCACTTAATCTGTACTATTTATCGGAATCTCGAATTAAAACAATACTTTTTTTGTTTAGTTTAATGTTGCTAACCATAGGTTTCTTAGAGCAAAATCTCCTTTTAAAAATATTGTTATCTCTGTTTTGTCAAAGGTAACAAGGATGACAATATGTTTTGATAAAGTTTGCGGTCTTAGAAACCGACGGTAAGGAATTTAATACATGTTGCCAATGTCCCAAAATAAATCATCAAAATAGAGCTTAAACTAAGCTTGGGAAAAGGGTTCTAAGCTTACAAATTGCTACCAAATGATATCGACTCGAATAAATCATTCCAAATTCATTTATAAAAATTCCCAAGCCGACTGTATTTATCGGGAACTCCTCATAAAACATCCCTAATTTATAGCCATGTCATTATGCTGTTAGACGTATTTTACTTTCGATAAATATTATACGCGAGATATATTTAAGACTCGTTTGTGTCCGCGGCTTCACCTCCTGTTCGTATAATTAATAAATTCTTTAATACTACGATAGTTGTTCAACAACTTGCTTTTGCATTAAAATATTATAAGTTATATGGTTTGTAATAACTATGCTACTAGTAAACAATTTTGCATAATCCGTGTCTAGAAATATGCTTAATTGCAAAATTATTCTTAAATAATCTTACTAAGCGACTTGCAATGTGCAGGTCCTGGTTTCGAATCCCGCCATGTACCAATGTGTTTTTCGATTTCAGATTTAAATATGTACATTTATCCGACGTTCTTACGGTGTAGGAAAACATCGTAATGCAACTTGCACATATCTGAGAAGAAATTCAAAGATATGTTTGAAGTCAACTAAGCCGCACTTGGCCAGCGTGGTTGACTATGGCCTAGTCACCCCTAACATAGGCTCCGAAAACCCTCGGTGGGGACGTATAGTGA